GTGCTGCTTGCTTATCAATAACCCTCGGGAAAAAGAGTGTCTTCCTGAAGGTGAAAAGATGTCTCTCCTGTGCCAGCCCATTGGACCCCAGGGCCAAAAGAAGCCTGGCATATGCTCACTCACTTAAGGCTACAGGGAAGATAATGGAAAAGTGCCTGAAAAAAAGGAAGAAAAAGAAAGGCAGCAATGAACTACAAGTAGCTAGGTGCCTTGAATGGCTTATGTGTATAGCAGAGGCAGCCGGTTAAAGCCTCTCTGGTCTTGTGCTGCAGTGGCAAGGAAAGAAAAGATGCCTTTGCCATCTAAATGAATCCCATAATTAAGATCTAACAAGTGAGGGCTACCCTACTTTTCTTCTGCCCAATTCCTGTGAATAGGATGGGAAGAGGGGCAACAAACCTGCAAGAAGGGGCAGCACCTACCTAGCTTTTATAGTCCCTATAAAACCCATAATTAGAAATTTTAAAATATGTTTTAGCTTTCTGATAAATAACCCCTCCTTCATAATATGTCAATTCTTGGACATTCTTCTTTCAAATATATTTTTAGTAATGCATTTCCCTTGAAAGTAGGAAATGCCTATTTGAACTTATTTGTTCATATCCCTACTGGCCTGTTAGCTACCTTGAATAGAGATACAGCCTTCGCATAGTTTTGTATTCTGAGTCAGTGACAAAAGTGTTCAACAAGTACTTGCTGAATAAACAAAACATTCTGAAAATTTTTTCACTAGGCAATTCTCCTCAAAGGCTATAAATAAAGCATAGAATTCATGTCCACTTCCCCTTAGGTAATATTTCTTCCATGAAACCAACAGCACCTGAAAATCCACTTCCTGTACACAGTATGTATTGGTAGAAAGAGCTGTCAGACCTATATTTGAATATTATTTCTGCCACTTAATAGCTGTATGATGCTGAGAGGGTTACTTAACTTCTCTAACTCCATGTCCTCATCTAAAAAATGGGAATAACATCACCTACTAGGAATGTTCTGAGGATTAGAAATACATAAGCAGTCTTCACTTTGCAAGGTTCTAAAATGCACAAATTTCAGTTACCACAGTTTGGTCAATACCAATCCCCCAACAACACAATTCAAATTTCAGTTACTACAGCATATTAACTGAGAGTAATTAAATATAGTACTACAAATTTTGCTTCTAGCTCTTCAGTTCACAAATCACTATGTAAATAATAAAAGCACATCACCATCAGTGATTAACCAAGTCACTTCTTTCAAATTCTGTTGGTGGATTTAACAAAATAAGCTACAAAGGAACAACAATGAGGCTGTTGGGGGCTTCTCATCAGCAACAATAAAAGCCAGGACACATTAGAATACTATTTTCAAAGTGCTGAGAGAAGAATATATCTCTGTCTACATTGCTAACTATGGATAAAACATCAGGGCAAAATCTGTTAGTGATCAGTCACTGCACATCTGTTATTCAGTTCCTATACATATAGCAAAGCGTGTAGTTGAGTTGCCTCCTTGTCTACTGGTGATGAATGTATGTGACATTTTACAAAAATGAATAACCAAAAGAGGGAATAGGCCAACAAAGAAACAAAAAGTGAATGTTAGAAGTGAAATTCCAATCATTCATAAATGGAGTGATAGAAGAAATATCTGACCACAATAATGTTGACCCTCCTGCCATTTGAGAGACTCCAGATACATAGCCAGAAGAACTTAATGAAGGGAAGCTTATTGACACAAATGAAGAAAGTGCTTGTGACAAAAGCATGAAGATGGACTAGAAGAAGTGACGCCAGCAAAAAACTTTGTATTAAAGGAATTCTCAGAGAAATTTCATAATATGGAAAGTGCAAAGAATAAAATGTTGGAAGGTGATCCAAATTTAGAGGCATATGATAATTCACCAAGGCATAGAAAAAACGCTCATTCCATATCACAAGTTATTAGACAAGAGGGCAGGCACTGTCCAAACTCCTTCATAAATTCTTTTACAAAAAATAAATAAAACATTTTAATTCTGAATGTTTTTAATGTTTTTAACTACAGTGTACTAAATAAATATTAGTTTTACTATCTTTTTCATTTCTCTATATATTTACAATCAACAACAACAACAAAAGAATTTACAATGTTTGACAACATTTTTAAAGGTCACAGAGCAATCGTAAATTTAGCAATCGTAAATCTTAAATCCTATTAAGATCACATTGCCAGTTTTAACAGGCATGGTCATTTATGTTGCCCCACACTACGTTGCAAAGTGAAGACTACCTGTACCTATAACTTTTGGCACATCAAGGTGCTTATTATTTCACAACTAAAGGGAAATCTTATACCATTTTCCCCTGGTCCTTATAATCTGCTCAAACAAAAAAGAAATTTGAATTGAACTTGGCTGATGTTAAGAAGATAGCTTTTGATTGAGAACTGTTGCCATATCTGAACATGCAATTCCCCAAACTTATCTTTAAGTTATCCAAAATATACACACCCCAATGCTGAAAGATAGGCTTCTTAAACAGTTGCTCAGTTTGTCCTTTGTGACAGTACACTATTTCATGCCTATCCTCATCCCTTGCATGTAGGGGCAAAACAATGAATGTGATAGAAGCAAAATGGTGTAGTAGCTCTTGAGTCAGACCTCAACTTGAATACTACCTCTACACCACTTCTGCAACCTTAGATAAGTTACTTCTTAGAGCTCAAATTCCTATTCTGTGAAATGAGGATAATAGTACCTTCTTTTGAGAATTATAGCAAAGATCAAAAGAGATAAGATATATGAAGTGCTCAGGAAAGTGTGGTACATAGGAGGCACTTAGATATAACTATTATCACCATTATTATCCTTAATATTTCTATCATTAATGTAAATATTGGAATGATAAAGTTGCATTTGTTTTAAAAACACCATTATTAGTCAGCATATTTTTCAAAGATCAAATTCTCTTACTCCAAGATACGATAGATACCCACCACTCGCTGGGTAAAGACACTTTACCTCAACTTCCTCCAGATCATTTTTTCTCCCAAGGTCCATGTGCAAAGGACAGCCAACATTCACTCATTCTCTTCTTGCAACCCCTAATTCCTATGTCAAAACCCTCTCTACAGTCTGCTCACAGTTTCCTCTTCTGAAGACATTAAGAACTAAAGCCATTTCCCATTTCTCAGAGCTATCTGCCAGAACAGTAGTATCTTGCTCTCTGACAGCTCACATGACTTAACTGTCACTTTTCTCTTTTGATTCTAATTCTTGGTTCTAAACTAAGAGTCAGTATTACCTCTAAAGACGGAAAGCATCTAAAGGCCAACAAAAGCCAACTCTTTTTCTCCACTAACAATTAATTCCACCTAAAATATTCATGTGAGTTAGTTGAGCAATGTCTGTTTTAATACTTTCAGTGACAGAAATCCCTCTACCTTACAAGTCAACCCATTCCAAGATCCTATCTTTGTAAAGCTGCCTATGTTGAAGCAAAATCTCCCCTTACAGTTAGTTTCCACTCATAGACGCTAATTCCACATTATAGGGAAATACAGAAAGTTTAATGCTCTATGACAGCTCATCCAACATTTGAAAACCCTTGAGTTTCTCTTCCATTTCGAGTTCAGAAAGCATGGTTTTAAGTCCCTTCCCTCATAGACCTCCTCTGGACCACATATGGACTTGCCAACATGATCTAACAAATCGGTAAAGCACTTCCTTTGCCAACATTTAGACTGCCAAGTAATTACACTGCAAACGAACCCTTTGCCCATATTCTTTCACTCTTATGTAAAAAATATTAATTTAAACCAGTAGTTCAGGAAAAATCTCAGCTTAAATCATAATATAAAGGGAATGGTACTAAAGTCCTGAAAACTGCAGCAGGAGTTTTGTTTTCCTTCTTTCTCTTAACTTAGCCAATTACTGGGAACAGAATTAAGTAAAATCAGCTGGCATGAAACTTTGCCTCTTTTCCACAAGCCAAACACACACGCCTGGGAGAAGGACCCAACAATGGGAAGGTTAGCTAAAAAGAGTTTGTTTCATGTCCTGGGAAAGAGAATCAAATGGAAAGAAGGAATAGCTAAAAAATACTCTCTGTACCTCGCCAGAAGCAGGTGCCTGAAGAAGTATCAAACAGTGTGCTCTCAAAACATGACCAAAGCAAACAACAGAAATATTAGTGGCAGATTTTTCGGGTACTCTCCTAGCCTGGCAGGAATAATCATCTGGGGAAACACACACACACACACACACACAGACAAGAAAAAAGCCAGAAGGGGCCAGTGGTGCATGTCAGGGGTAGCAGCTGAAGGAGGATCCTTCCCCCAAGTCCTCAGAAAGTGCAATCAGTGGAAGTAGTGTCCTCAGATGACCCCTAACCCTTAGGCAGTCGGAGGGGAGGCAGAGTAGAAAGGACAGGGTCCCTTGTGCTCTTGGCGCCTGGCACCAGCAGGAAGGTACAGACTAACTAGGTGCTCTGCCTTATACTTCTGGTGCAAGGAGATAGTTGAACAGTTGTACTCAGAGTAGACGATCTCTGTACTCACAGATATCCCAGAGGTGGGAAGGAATGGAAGGTAGGGGGTGGAGATCTGAGACTAGAAAACTGTTTCCTGGAGGTGACCGACGAGGTCTAATATTAACAGAGAAAGAGGAAAGCAAAGACCTTAGAGTTTTCACGTGTGGGGGAGGGGAGGTTAAACGAAGATCTGTTCCCTTCACCTGTGCCCTCACCGTGGTGGCAGCAACCGTAGGAGCAGGTGTCGCCCCCCTCCCCCAACCCGTCCAGCCCCCAGCACTCCTCGGCGACACCCTGGATCCCTATCTGGTCCCTTTAGCTGTAGCCTTCCCATTCCTACCCCCCCGGCCAGGAACCCCACTCCACCCGCCGCGGCCCGGCCTGCTGCCTCCCGGGCCGCCAGGTCCGCCCTCGCCCTTCCTCACACGGAATCCCCCCCTCAGCCCGGCGCCCTCTCTCCCTCCGGCCACCCTCAGGCCGGAGCCCGGGGCCGGCACTCGCACTCACAGAACTCGGCGATGTACCAGGTCACCGCGTAGTTCTCCTCGCACCAGTCCAGGGTGGAAGTCGTGCGGCCCCAGTAGCCCTCACGGTCCCCGGCTGGAGCCATCACGCGCGCCGCCGCCGCCCAGGCGCTCCTCTCGCTGAGTTCGGCTTCGCGGACTCCCAGGCCCGCTCCGGCCCTGCTCGCGCGCTCTCCGCGCCCCGCCCTCCTTTCTCTAGGGGCGGGGCCCAGCGCCGTCGCCGACACAATC